CCTGGCATTTTTTCCCCCCACTGGAGATTGAGCCCACCTGTCTGTCCATGTTAGGCACGTGTTCTACCACTGACCTACACTTTCAGCCCTACAGCTTGATATATATGTATGTATTTGGTATGGGGGATTGAGCCCAGGGGTACTCTATCACTGATCAGCTACATCCCCAGCCCTTTGTATATTTTGAAGCTGGCCTCAGCTTTCAAAATTGCTGGGATTACAGGTATGCATCACCACACCTGGCCCTACACCTTTTTTTTTTTTTTATACTGGGAATTGAACCCAGGGCTGTTTACCATTGAACTATGTTTCTGCCCTTTTTATTTTGAGACTGGGTCTCACCAAATTGCTTAGGGCCCTGATAAATTGCTGAGGCAAGCCTGAAACTTGCAGTCCTCCTGCCTCAGTCTCCCAAGTTGCTGGAATTACAGGTGTGTGCCACCATGCCCTTTTTGTTTTATTTTTGAGACAGGGTCCCGCTAAGTTGCTGAGGCTGGTTTTGAATTTGCATTTCTCCTGTTTCAGCCTCCCTAGCCTATTGGATTACAGGTGTGCATCATCGTGCCTGACCTTGCAACATTTTTTTTTTTAATATTCTTTTTTAGTTGTAGATGGACACAATACCTTTATTTTATTTATTTATTTTTATGTGGTGCTGAGGATTGAACCCACTGCCTCACATGTGCGAGGCAAGCGCTCTGCCACTGAGCCACAACCCCGGCCCTGCCCTGCAACATTTTTAATAGGATGTCCGGTGAAAAATAATCATCTCATTCCAGATTCCCACAAGACAACCATGACTACCAGATTCTTTTTTAAACATCTAGAGCTAGTTATTCTATGCATAGTCAAATCTTCTCTTTTTATTTCTACCTTACATTGTTCCTATCATTCTTCTCCCCTGTTTTATATCAAATGAGAGCATATTATTGGTTCTCATTTGTACCTAACATTTTTTCATTTAACCACCAAATCTGAGTTGGTTTGTCTGTTTATGTGTGTGTATTATATATGTGTGTGTATATATTCATATGATTATAGGTGCACATTACTATGCCTGGCCATTTTGTCTTAAATACACTTAACTGCTATAGTGACTAGAGCTTTAAAAATTGCACTGGGCCGGGCATGGTGGCTCACACTGTAATCCCAGTGGCTCAGGAGGCCAAGGCAGGAGGATCACGAGTTCAAAGCCAGCCTCAGCAATTGTGAGGCTCTAAGCAACTCGGTGAGACCCTGTCTCTAAATAAAATACAAAATAGGGTTGGGGATGTGGCTCAGTGGCTGAGTGTCTCTGAGTTCAATCCCCAGTACCAAAAAAAAAAAAATAATAAATAAATAAAATTGCACTGGGCACAGTGGTGCACACCTGTAATCTCAGTGACGTGGAAGGCTGAGGCAGGATGATCTTAAGTTCAAAGCCAGCCTCAGCAACATAATGAGACCCTGTCTCAAAATTAAAGGAAAAAAAAAAAAAAGGGATAGGGATGGTGCTTAAGTGCCACTGGGTTCAATCCTAGGTACCAAAAAACTGGAAAACCATGTTCTATCTGATTTTGAGAGCAATATCTGATTCTGGAGGGACTACTCTGTTAAATATTAGGCATTTAATAAAGATTCAGATTTCAAACTGAAACTCTGGCAAGAGTGGGCCTGTATTTCTTAAGGCAGGAATTCTGTCCCTGAGTATTGGTTATTTTCTGTAGAACCGGTCCTGACTCTAGTCTTCCTGTAGTCCTTCCCATGCCCTAGTGAGTTCTTTCTCCCAATTAGTTGCTTGCTGGTCTCCTGAGAACATTAGTTTTGCATCCTCTGCTTTGTTGGTCAGTACAAGTCTCCAAAGATGGTGGTTCTCAAATGTTTTTATTTTATTTTTGGGGACTGGGGTTGAACTCAGGGACACTCGACCACTGAGCCACATCCCAGTCCTTTTTTGTATTTTATTTAAAAACAGGGTTTCATTTAATTGCTTAGTGCCTCGAGGTTGCTGAGGCTGGCTTTGAACTTGTGATCCTCCTGCCTCAGCCTCCCCAGCTGCTGGGATTACAGGTGTGTGCCACTGCACCTGGCTCAAATGTTTTTATTTCATGCCATTACCACCTTGAACTCCTAAGAGAATCTAGACTCTGTTATTCTTTTCTTACTTAAAACGATGGCATGATTTCCACTCAAATGAGAATAGGAAATCCATGATATCTAAAACTGCAAGTTGAAACTTTGGGGACTTTGAGTAATGGAACGAATCTTTAGTTATCTGTATTTTTGAAATCTTATCCCTATATCAGGTTGTGTTATAGCCCTGGCATTCTCTTGCCTAGCTCGTTTCTCCTTGTAAGAATTTATTGATTCATTCAGGTGTTGCTATTAGATTCATCCTTTCTTTTTTTGGTGCTGGAGATTGAACCAGCCTTGTGCATGCTAAACACATGATTACTTACCATAGAGCTACACCCTCATCCTCCCATCTCTCTCTTTCAAAGATGGCTGCAACTCTTGGCCAGCTCAATATAGCATTTGATCTTTGTTTTATGCCATCCCAGCCATATTATATATGATTCTATAATAATGTTTTAATAATGATTCTATAATAATCACTTTCACCACTTGTCTCAGAGCCCCAGGAGTATATATGATTCAACTGCAAAATCTTGAGATTGTTCTGACTTTCAACTCAGTTCACACAGTAAATCTGCTCTTTGGTTTGCTTTTTTTCCTGAGTGTCCTGACATTTTCCTACTTCTTTCCTTTCAGTACTTGGTCTGTCTTTCATCTTTGCCAAATGATAAACTTATTTTTCTGTTTTACATTGTTCTTAATATCCAGCACCTCCTTTGGGGGTTGGGAAGAAAGACATTTTAGTCCTCAAGAATTATTTTCCACTTTAGGAAGTGATCTCTTTTCAGAAGACTCCACTAATTTGGGGCTACCCAATAAAACTTGGCTGATATTGAAACCAGAACCGATGCTCAAATTACTTGAACAAGGTTCAATAGTAGCCCAGTATTTGCTGTCTCAATTTCTTTATTTTGTTTTAGTCTGTGCCAGAGTTCCTGTTTTCTTTTTTGTTGTTGTTGTTGTTTTGGTACTGGGGAGTAAAGTAAAGTACCAGGGGTACTTTATCACTGAGACACATCCCTCTAGTCATTTTAATTTTTTATTTTGAGACAAGGTCTCACTAAGTTGCTTAGGGTCATGCTAAGTTGCTGAGGCTGGACTCAAATTTGTGATATTTCTGCTTCAGTCTCCTGAGTCAAGGGGATTTACGGGCATGATTCGCTGTGCCTGGCTGTTTTTTTTTTTTCACTTTTTAATGTGGAAATTTATAGATAGAAAGATAGAGAAAATATTTTAATAAACTCCTACATTTCCTAGGTAAATACTAGTTAAGTAATTATCAATATTTTGCCAATCTTGTTCTATTTCACATAACTTTTTTCCAGGTTTTATTATAAAACAAGAAAGACTTTATCATCTATAGGGGGGGCATGGTGGAGCTTGTCTATAATCCCACTTACTTGGGAGGCTGAGGCAGGAGGATCACAAGCTGAGGCCAGCCTGGGCAATTGGGTGAGATCCTGTGTCAAAAATAAAAAATAAAATAAAAAAACCCTAGCCAGGATGTAGCTCAGTAGAAAGTGCTCTTGGGTTCAGTTCCCAGTACGGGGTAGGGGGATCACCCATAAAATACTACTTTCACTCACATGTTGTTAATGTTTTGTCATTTTCATATTTCATGACCCTTACCCTTAAATATTTCATTGTGCATTTCCTAAAAAGGATTTTCCTTTGTAACCACAGTTATATTATCACAAAATATTAACAATATTTCCTAATTTTATCTATCTTTGAATTTTCCTACTTGTCCCCAAAATGTCTTATATAGTTCCCTCCATCTCCAAACCAGGATCCAAGGAAGATCCATCCACACATTACATTTGGTTATTAGTGCCTTTAAATTTTTCTTCCTGTGTCTTCATCATTTTTTTTTTTTTTTTTTAACATTTGTCATTTTGTAATGATCTGGCCACTTGACCTGTGAAATATCTCATATTCTGGGGTTACAAATATCTTATTTTATAATATTGGGGTTTAATTTGTTCCTTATCCCCTGTAAATTTCCTGTAAACTGCAAATTAGGTATAATGGCTTGATAAGATTAATACTAAACACTTTTGACAGGAATACTTAATAGATGATGTTGTGTACTTATTGCATCTCATTGAGGACCACACAACATCAAAGTTGACCTATTACTAGTGATGTAAAGTGTGATCATTTACTTGAGTAAGGTTTGACTGCCAGATCTTTACATTGAAATTACTTTTCGTTCTGTGCAATTTGCAAATAATCTGTGTGGTGACATTTGACATGTTCTTTAACGACGTTTCTCTTAAAAGTTTGACAGGATCATTCTGGGTTGCAGAATAGTAATTTCCTAACTCTTCCATTTCTTCTACATTTATTGGATGGGATTCTTTATAAAATCGGGCTTTCCTATATAAATTACTGATGAAAACGGATGGTAAATGCTTCTTTTAGTTAACAATTTCAGAATAAGGAGTTGGTGTAATAATCGCTTTCAGTGTGGCGAATTAAGTTTTTTACTTTTATTTTTTTTAGTATCAGCATAGACTACTGGGTTTTCCTTGTCTCTTTCTCATATTCTCTCCACCTATTCTTTCATCCACTCCACTTCTTGATCCATGGCGATTGCTACCTTTTTCGGCACTACGCCTGAACTTTCCAGTTAGTCCTCTAGGTGTCACTGGTTTCCCTTGCGTCCCTACACTGCCGCTCTATCGCACATCTCCGTTTTCGCAACTGACCATCTCGCTGGTACTGACTCGATTCAAGGAGACGCTCTAGGCTCTCGGGAGGCCGTTAGCATTGTGTGGGGAAAGTCTGGACTACGCGTCGCCTCGCCGGCCCCGGGGCGGTTAGCGCTTCCGGGGTCGAAGGGTGCGCGGGGTTGAAAGCGGGCCGCTCCGCCCCGTCCCCCTCCCAGACCAGCAGAGGCAGCAGCCGGAGCAGCCGCAGCCTGCGCCCTCTCCCGCCCGCCCGCCCTCCGCCCGCCCGCCCGCCCTCCGCCGCCCTCCACCCGCCCCGGGGTCTCTTTCCCCCTTCCTCCTCCTCCTCCTCCACCCCCCCCTTCCTCCTCCGCCCGCCCGCGGGGCCCCCCTTGCCTTCCCGCCCGCCCCTATTGTTCCGCCCCCGGCCTCCCGCCCTTCCCCTTCCCGCCCGCTCCCCTTTTCCCCTCAGTCGTCTCGCGCCTGCAGGTAAGCTTAAAAATTTCCCCTCCTCCCCCGGCAGAAGCTTCTGTTTCCACTCATGCCATCTTTCTTAGAGGTCTCCGGTCCTAGTCACGAACCCCGGTCTCTCGTAGGCCCGCGTGAGCGCCTACCACCTCAGTCTCTCCGGCCGGCCACTCACGCGAGGACCTGGTTCTGGCGCGGCCTAGTAGGCCTCGCGCAAGGCCTACCCCCTCCCCCCCCCCGCCTTTTCCCGGTGGCGGCTGCGCAGGAGTCAAGGAGGGCGCGCGCGCGGTAGGGGGGGCGGCGGTGGATTTGTTGGTTGAGGGGGGTGGGGGAGGCGATGGCCGGCTTGCTGGCCGTGCGGGTGAGCGCGGCTCCCCGCGGGGGTCAGGCGCTGGCGCAGCCACACGAGGAGGCGCTACTAGTCCGGCCCCTCCCCCTGGATCGCAGCGCCCCCCCCCGACCGAACCGTTTATTTTTCCTCTCTTTTCTAATTGAGGGAAGGGGGGGGCTAAGTGGCAAAATGCTTGGATGACTGAGGGGAGGGGGGCTGCGGAATTAAAGAAAGGGTAGGCGGGCTCCCAGTTACCGAGTTATTCAGGACGTTCTCTCAGGGTAACGAATTTTGAAATTACAAAATGCCTACCGATATAAACCCAGACCGAGCTATTTATAGAGGGGTAATTGACTGCATGATTAACAGCTGGATTCCTGGGATGGGGTACACTTATACTGACATGAGAGAAGTATGACAGATTTCTTGGATTGCTTTAATGGTTTGGAGTTAAAAAATGCATATTTGTGCCTCACCTGAAGAAATAACTTCAAATGTTTCATTTTGTGCCCTTGTGATTATTGTGGTATTTGTAAAGTACTTCCTATTACATCTTAGCTAGGAAATTAAGATTTTTACCATAATTAATTTAAAAAAGGAAATCATTCTGATAGACTCAACTATTTCTACCAAGCCTTTTTCCCCCATGAGTGAAAAGTGTTGACTTGTGGGATTTGGGCAGCAATTGGCTATATTCTGAAAATAGGAAAATAATGTGCATTGGGGATGCACTTATATAATGCACTTACATTCTGAAGTAGACAGGAGACAAATTTACCATGTACAGAATGGTGTGGCAATCACTAAAACGCTTCTGAAAGTATTTAGGGTCCGACCTTTGTTAACAACAAAATTAAAAGGGTGTCTGGTTTAGTGAAGGGAGAAAACTAGCTATAGGAGGAGTTTTGAAGGGATGGATACTGAATTATGTCATTAAAGAAATTTAACAGAACTTGTGAGAGGCACTTTTAAAATTGGTCCTAAGGAAGTATTGAAGGCAAACACATATCCACAACCAATTTTTTTTCTGCATATCACTAAGCGCATTGTTTGAGGGGATGAGTGAAGAAAGGGACGTCTTGAAAACAATTACAGAATAAGTTTTTAGATGTATTAGTTTTATATTGTCTTTTTGGGAAGAAATCTAAGATTTAATAGATGTGAATAAAAACTGAGTGGCAATAAAAGTTTTGTACAAACAAAACAGGTTAGGGGAAAGAGAAAAGGACTTGATTGGACTAAATGTATGGAGTCATTCCAAAGGGGAATGTGGAACTCCTGTCTGCATGGCCGCATCTGGGATAGATGCCTCTTTCAGTTAGGTTGTTGACACAATTTAAAAATCATTTGATGTCATCCATCAACATTTGAAATTTTTAATGTGGGATACATCTCAATTTCTTTATCTAGAAATTGCTACTATGAAGATTACTTGTGTTCTCTAGCTTGTAGTTCCAATTGTTACTCCACAGGGAATCAAAAGGTCATTTGCCCTTAATGTAAGTTGGTTAGTATGGGGTTTGCTCAGGTGTTTGAATCTTTTTGAAGCTTACTTTGTTGAAGGACAATTTGGTGCAAGTTCAGCAATTCCCTTAGAACCACTGCCAGTAGAAGGAATCTTCCTCATCCCGAGAGTCAGCGGAAAACCTATCATTTATGAGAGCAAATTGGAAAGTTGCCTTCTATACTGTGTAACCACCAGAGTTTTAAATGTTAAGCAGTTGTGCTGGGTGTATGTACAAATTGGATAGGAAAAGAATCATTTAGAAAACATTGATAATGGCAGAAATAACTTTGGGAAATATTCTCCTATTGTTTTCTTCCTCTGATTTTGGTCATGTTTGCATTTCAGTTTTTGGCTTTCACCCCCACCAGTGACCAAAGACTTGACCACTCAAAGTCCAGCTCCCCATAACACTGCTCGACATGGACACCGGTGTGATTGAAGGTGGATTAAATGTCACTCTCACCATTCGGCTACTTATGCATGGAAAGGTATGCACCAGCTTGGGAAATTGGGTCATAGTAACTGCTAGGGGAGGGGCCAGGAAGAGCAGACATGCATCTTGGAGCTCATCAGATTAACACTGTGGGGCGTCTGGCTTTAGTACTCTTCTCTAATGGAATAGATGTGAATATAGTGGGAAAGTGGACAGATTTGACTAGGAAGCTCCACTGAGCAGGAAATGCTTAACTAGAGGTTAGAGCCAAAGACTGTCTCATACCTGGATAGTAAGATTTTTCTAATGGATGTTGCTATAGGTTGTAATAGGTAGATTTCACAAATAATTTTAGGGAAATTTAAGGGGGTGGTAAACATTTAGTTTTATAAAAGATAATTTATATTAAACACAAATTATAGTATTTAGCCACCACTATGTGGTTATTCATTTGAAATTCATTGATAGCTTTACTCTTAAATTCTGATTAAAGAATAAACCTTTATCTCCCCAACCCTCAGTAAATCTTAAAATCTCTCCTTTTTTGCTGGGGGTTGGGGTTATTGAATCCAGGGGAACTTTGCCACTCAGCTATATTCCCAGCCCTTTTTTCTATTTTTAGTTATAGTTGGACACAGTACCTTTATTTTATTTACTTTTATGTGGTGCTGAGGATCAAACCCAGGGCCTTGCACATGCTAGGTGAGCACTCCAACGTTGAGCCACAACCTGAGCCCCCCCCCAGCCCTTTTTTTTTTTTTTTAATTTTTTTTAGTTATACATGGACACAATATCTTTTTTGTTTATTTTTTATGTGGTGTTGAGGATCAAAACCAGGGTATCACACGTGCAAGGCGTGCACTCTACTGCTGAGCCACAAACCACGCCCCACCCCCTAGCCCTTTTTATTTTTGACAAGTTCTCCATAAGTTGCTGAGGCTGGCTTCAAACTTATGATCCTCCTGTCTCAGCCCCCTGAGTAGATAATATTATATGCATATACCATCATACCCAGCTCTCCATTTCTTTGGAGTAGTACTTATCATAATAGCAGTTGGACAGCTGGATAGTTAGAATTTATTTTTCATAATGATGAACACTTCTGAATTTCCTCTTAGTTACACTAGTTTTTTCCATTGCAGGAAGTTGGCAGTATCATCGGAAAGGTAAGTAAGATAATTTCACTTCAACACTAATTACTATTTAGTCAGTCTGAGTTGAAAAAGCAGTTGGAGCTCATCATTGACTTTTCCTCTTACAGAAAGGAGAATCGGTTAAGAAGATGCGCGAGGAGGTAAGTTAGGGGCTTTCGAGTTTTGTTAGCTTTGGAAAGTGAAACTCTTTTAAAACATCTGAAAGTTCTGTTTGAGAGATTAGATGGGGGAGAGCTCTATAGGGAAAGTCTCTTTTTTTTAGCTTGATTATTTTATTGGTGTTGAGAATTGAACTTGGCCTCACCATTCTTAAGACAAGTTCTGTATCACTAAGCTTCATCCCCAGTTCTGTTTCAGTTATTTGTAATGACAAATATATGCAGGAGTGTATACTTTTCAGAGAGATCTTGGAGTTTATTCAGGACAGCTGGTATAGGCTTTGTTTGAGGACAAACATGGGACAGTGTTTGATTTCTCCCCCACCCCCCAGTGTAGGTAGGTAGCTTCTTGCCTATGTTAAAGAGAGGCTATACACATCCTATATATGTTCTGATCTTTTTTGTCTCTTAACTACTTTTGTTTCTCCTCCTTTTTCAGAGTGGTGCACGTATCAATATCTCAGAAGGGAATTGTCCTGAGAGAATTATCACTTTGGCTGGACCCACTAATGCCATCTTCAAAGCCTTTGCTATGATCATTGACAAACTGGAAGAGGTTCGTTGTTTTTTCTCCCCCACCTCCTGGTTTTTTTGTTTGTTTGAGACAGGATCTTGCTATGTTGCCCAGGCTGCTTTTGAAATCCTGGGTTGAAGCTGTCTACCTGTCAGATTCTCCAGTAGATGGGACTACACGTTTGTACCACTATACCCAGCAAAAAAAAAAAAAAAAAGTGTTGGCTCAAACCCAGAGCCTCAAGTATGCTAATTAAGTACTGTACCACTGAACTATATCCCCAGCTCTTTTTTACATTTATTGCTAAGCCTTCAGAGTATATTGTTGCCCTCTTCCAGTTGATTGAACTAAATTAATGCACTTTTTGTTAGGAGCTCTGTTGAAACTAATATATTTCATTGATTGCAGATATTTTCCAGTCTGCGTGTTGTTATATTAAAAAAGTATACAGATACTGGTAAAAAATGTTAAGTTGTACTTGGAGGGCGAGCCCTAGGTAATCAGAAGCAAAATAATCATATCGGAGGTTTTGTTATAAGGGAGTTGTTGTTTTAACTCTCAATCTTCAGAGGCCAAGCAACCATTGTCCTAGGTCATGTGTTCAGCTCCCCGCTTGCCCTCCCTCTGCCTGCTGCAGTAATGCTGCTAATTGTGCAATTGATACCACAGAAAAATGCTGCTTGGTTGGTGGTTGGTACTTAATGGTGCCTGAAATCCTATCCTTGCCCACATTAGAAATGTTATCTTTTTTTTTTTTTTTTTTTTGTGCTAGGGATCAAACCCAGAGTCTTTTGCATGCTAGACAATTGCTGTACCACTGAGTTATATCCTCAGCATTAAAAATGTTGGTGCATGGTGACACATGCCTGTAATCCCAGCAGTTTAGGAGGCTGAGGCTGGAGGATTGAGAGTTCAAATTCAAAATAGGGTTGGGATGTGGCTCAGTAGTCAAGTGCTCCTGAGTTTAATCCCTGGTGCTCCACCCCACCAAAACAATTTTTTTTTTTTGAGTATCATGGCCCTGTTAATTCTCTTGGTTACTTGTATTAAAAAAAAAAATCAGGAAACATCTATTTTGGGGGGCGTAGGGGGTTTGAAACCAGGGTGCTTAACCACTGAGCCACATCCCCATCCCTTTTTATTTTGAGGCAGTATTGCTGAGTTTCTTAGGCCCTCACTAAGTTGCCAAGGCTGGCCTCGAATTTAGGATTCCCCTGCCTCTGTCTTCAGAGTCTCTGGGAGTATAGGCATGTGCCACAATGCCTGGCATACTGTCCATTCTTTAACCACATAAGAAACGTCCTTGATTTCAGGGGTTTAAGCTTAAGCATTTCCAAGGTCTCAGTACTAATAGAGGTTAGTCTGAGAAATGACATTTAAACCACTTAATCTTCAAAGGCTAAACTTAACTAGGTTAAAACCATGACTTTTGGATGTGGGATGTTATAGGAAAGATTGTAGGCTTTGAGCCAGTATAGGTTTTGTTTTTGGTTCTAAGAGATTGAACTGAGGGTCTTATGCATTCTAAACCTATGTTGTCTCAGTGACCTGTACTCTGAAGCTCCGGTAGTATCCTTTATATTTCAGAGCTTTTTATTTTTTATTTATTTATTTTCTAAATATCTTTTTTTTAGTTGTAGATTGACAGAACATCTTTATTTTATTTATTTATTTTTATGTGGTGCTGAGGATTGAACCCAGTGCCTCATGTGTGCGAGGCAAGCACTCTACCATTGAGCCACAACCCCAGCCCTACAGAGCTTTTTAGATGTGATCAGAGAAAATACTCTGAGCCTCTGTTTCGTCATCTATGTAATGGTACTTTTTTTGGGGAGCGGGTATGCTGGGGATTGAACTCAGGGGCACTCAACCACTGAGCTAATTCCCCACTCCTACTTGGTATTTTATTTGGAGACAGGGTCTCATTGGGTTGCTTTGCACCTCGCTTTTGCTGAGGCTGGCTTAGAACTCGCAATCCTCCTATCTCAGCCTCCAGAACTCCTGGGGTTACAGGCATGCACCACCGCACCTGGCTCATCTCTTTAATATTTAATTTTAACCTCATTCTTTTTCTGTTGCTTGTTAACTCCAATTTATAAAACAATTGCTTTTCTCCCTACTTTTAGAATACTCTCTCTGAGGGTGAAAGAAAATTATGGCTACTTCTGAGCAAGTTTGTAGAAGTTGTAATCTTCATTTACTTTGGTGCAAGGCATGGAATTTGAACCTTTTTTGGGATGGTTATGGCATGACATGTTCTTATAAGAATAAATGGTTATTCCTAGGTGAGGTGCCAAATGGTTGTAATCCTAAGGATTCAGGAGGTTGAGGCAGGTGGATTGCAAGTTTGAGGCTAGCCTGGTCAACTTTCTCAAAATGAAAAAAATAGGACTGATGATGTTTTTCAGTGAGACCCAGTCTCTAAGTAAAATACAAAAATAGAGCTGGGGATGTGGCTTAGTGGTCAAGTGCTCCTGAGTTCACTCCCTAGTACACCCCCAACAACAAGAACAACAAAAGAGACATACCCATAGGTTTAACACCCAGGTCTCACACATCCCTACCCCCACATACACACAAGAGTAAATGGTTCTTTTATGGAAGTTACAGGTTCCTAAGGATCTTCTTAAATGTGTATCTTTTAAATATTCTGACCAGCTTTTTTCTTTTTGTAGGACATCAGCAGCTCTATGACCAATAGCACAGCTGCCAGTAGACCCCCGGTCACTCTGAGGCTGGTGGTCCCTGCTAGTCAGTGTGGCTCTCTCATTGGAAAAGGTGGTTGCAAGATTAAGGAAATACGAGAGGTTGGTTATGCTATACTTAAATGTTAACTATTCTAAATGTGGTTCTGTTAGCTCTTGGTATAATTAGGAAATGTTAGTACTTGATGAAGACTGACTAAAATAATGGTATTAGAGGACTACAATGATTGAACTGAGAGTAAAAGTACTATGTAGTTTTTTTTCCTTTTTTGCACAACTCAGATTTTATATCATTATTTAGTGGTTCTAGGAATTGAATCCAGGGTTTTATTTATACTACACAAGTGCTTGCTTTCTCATTAAGTTATATCCCTGTCCCTTTTTGTTTCTGTTTTTCCCATTAGGACTGTGATACTCTTATCACAGGCGCTGTGTGTGTGTGTAATTAATTTTTTAAGCATTTATTTTTTAGGTGTATGTGGACACAATACCTTTATTTTATTTTTATGTGGTCCCGAGGATGGAACCCAGTGCCTCACACATGCTAGGCAAGTGCTCTACCTCTGAGCCACAACCCAAGCCCCCGTATATTGTTTTTATTTTTTTATATATATATTTCTTTTTTTAAATAAATTTTTTAGTCTTTGGTGTACCTTTATTTATTTATTTATATGTGGTACTGAGGATTGAATCTGAAGCCTCACACATGCTTGGCAAGTGCTTTGCCACTGAGCCAAAACCCCAGCCCTTTATTTATGATTTTTAAGAAATATTTATTTTTTTTAGTTATAGTTGGATACAATACTTTTATTTATTGTATGTGGTGCTGAGGATCAAACCCAGGGCCCTGCATGTGCTAGGCACGCACTCTACCACTGAGCCACAACCCCAGCCCTATTTACGTTTTTGCTTCTGGAAGTGGGGTGCTTAACACAGTTATATCCCCAGCCCGTATTTATTTTATTTTATAAGACAGGTCTTGCTATGTTGCTTAGGGCTTGTTGAGTTCCTGAGACTGGCTTCCCACTTGGAATCTTCTTATCCTCCTGAGATATTGGCATTACAGGTGTGCACCATCATGCCTGGCTTATTTTTATTTTAAGATGGGTTCCTGTCAAGTTTTCCAGGCTAGCTTTTTAATTTTTAATTTTTTTTTAGTACTGGGGATTAAGCCCAGGGACACTCTTCCACTGAGCTCTACATTTCCAGTAACTTTTTTTGTTTGGTACCTGGGATTGAACCTAGGTGCACTTAACTACCCAGCCACATTCTCCAACTCTTTTTATATTTTATTTGGAGATAGGGTTTCTTTAAGTTGCTTAGGCTGGCTTTTTTTTTTTTTTTATATTTATTTTTTAGTTTCAGGTGGACACAATATCTTTATTTTGTTTTTATGTGGTGCTGAGAATCGAACCCAGTGCCTCACGCATGCTAGGTGCGCGCTACCACTTGAGCCACATCCCCAGCCCCTTGGGCTGGCTTTGAACTCAAAATTCTCCTGCCTCAGCCTCCTGCATCACCATGCCCAGGAACTTTATTTTATTTTAAAGACCTCTTTACTAAATTGCTGAGTCTGGCCTTGAACTTGCAATCCTCTTGCTTTAGCCTCCTAAATAGCTGGGATTAGAGGCATGTGTCATCATGCGCCTAGGATTAGTGGGTTTTTTTTTTTTTTTTTTTTTTTTTTGGATACCTGGAATTGAACCCAGGGCCACTTTACATCCCCAGCTTTTTTTGTATTTTATTCAGAGATAGGGTCTCACTTAGTTGCTAAAAGTGCCTCAGCCTCCTGAGTCGCTGGGATTACAGGCCTGCGCAAGGGATTCATGTATTTTAATAATAAGTCAGGATATGAGAAAGTTAACCAGAATTTTCAATAAGTTTTCATTTTGTTAGCAAATGTGTGCAATTTGGCACCTTACATATGAGGCAACGTATACTTTCTCATATCTAAAGCATTTACAGTTTGATATGTTAGAGTAGCGATGTTTTTCTTGGCCAGATTTCCATGTAGCAAGGGAAAACAGGGAATGTATGTTCAGATACAGTTGTAATCTGGATCACTGTTTAATAATGAAGTTAAATTAGGTTATGGAAGCTTTTAGTTGTATCTAGGGGTTACTGAATTTGGTGTTGGAATGAAACTTGAAGTGGTTCCTAAAGAAAGAATTGAGTTGGAGAGCCTTTTGTAAATGCTACGAGAACAAAGATATTGGGCCGTGTGTGTTAAGCCCTAGAAATGGTAACTGGCCTATAGAATGAAAGGTGGGTGGGTGATTATTATAGTTTTTTGGGGGCCCACAGAAGCTGAGAGGAAACTGTTTAGAGGACCTTTTTCTTGAGCAGGTTAAATTTAGGCTGTTGTTCAGGCTTATTCTTTTCTTAAAGGATATTTTATTTTTAACTCCCATTAAACAGTACTATCTATGAAAAGGGAGGAATGGGAAGGAACAAAGAAAGGGGAAGATGGACAGGATAAGTATCCACTGAGCTATAAAATCTAAAATAAATACTGTGAGTATTTGAAAGAAAAAAATTTTTTTTCTGATTTTTTTAATTTCTTTTTACCCCCAAAGAGTACAGGGGCTCAAGTCCAGGTGGCAGGGGATATGCTCCCCAATTCAACTGAGCGGGCCATCACTATTGCTGGCATTCCGCAATCCATCATTGAGTGTGTCAAACAGATCTGCGTGGTCATGTTGGAGGTAAGCCCTCAGGCTCATGCTGAGAGTGGGGGAAGGGCAATTCTGGGGACAGGAACTGATCTATATTTAGTAAGACTGGAATTAGGTGAGGCTGTTAGTAGCCTTCAATGGGGGTGGGTACAAAGGTTCCCTGAGTTCATATTTTCCTTCCCCCAGCTTTGACTTTTCCTATGGTCTGTGAACAAAAATAGAACCTGCTAACTAGCAGTGATCTTTTGGCTTAGGACAGTTTTAGCACAGTTTACAAGGGTAGATGTCAAGATTCACTACTTGAACTGAGTGGACAAAATATTCATTTGAGTTCCTGAGAAGCTAAATGACCTTTTGGAATGCTATACATTGTTAACATGGAACTTGAGCACATTCTTTAATTTCTGGCTTTCAAGCAGGATATATTCTAAAGGATAGTGAATATAGAACAGAATGGTGAATTTGTGGTAGTATTTGAATGACTTATGTGTCTGGCTAATACACTAGTATTCTATTAAAGAGGAAAATTATGGGGTAAACCTTTTTTTAAGTTATATGTAATTTGTCCCATACTTTATCAGAAAGTGATTTCCAAGTGGAGTTAAAATTTAAATTGGATTTCTGAATAGTGTGTAGTGCAGACACTTCTATATTATCCTAGTCTCATGTTTTGGGTACTTTATTTCAAACTTGGCTTTATTTTCTCTTCAGATTAAAATATGAAATCCTAAAAATTATCAGCTAAAATGTACACAGAGTTTTTTTGTGTGTGTGTCATTAAATACATGGAAATAGTGCATAAAATTATTTTTAGGGGTATCTTCTTTAATGATTAATGTGCGCTGGGAGTAGTCCATGACTGTCTTACTGCTTTAAGGCAAATAATTGCAGATTTGAGATTAGATCTACCTAATGATAACTTGCTGTAGGTAAGGGGATGGAAATAATAGTTTTTAACTGAACTGTGTGTGCTAAAGCCACACAGCTGAAGCAGCTTTGAAACCTTATCTCTTTTTGTTTTTTTCCCCTCTGACTCTCTCCCAGTCCCCCCCGAAGGGCGTGACCATCCCGTACCGGCCCAAGCCGTCAAGTTCTCCAGTCATCTTTGCAGGTGGTCAGGTAAGACAGTTCTTATTGGTTGGCTAGAATTAACATAATATTTGAAATGTCAACTACGCCAGCAGCACACCAAGCCACTCTGCATGCTTGCCGATTACTCTGGCCATAGTTTGACTTGCTTTTAGTTTTATTTTTGTACTGGAAAAAGCCTTGAATGCCAAGCCCGTATTTAATTTTTAACAGGCAAAGGAAGTTTTGTAGGCACTCGGAAGAGGTAATTTATTTTGTAATTTAATGTGGGATGGGTTAGGAGAGTTAAATTGCCTCTGCGTCACTACTTCTCTCTTTCCCACCCCATCCATGCTTTTGTATGTGTGGGGTGATCTTTAGAGGTCTGAGTAAAGGTAGAAAAGAATTGGACCTCTGAAGGAGAGTTCTGGATGCTGGTCTCAAAATTGGGGACGTCTGAACTTGAGTGTCCTACAAACTTCCCCTTCCCTCCACCTCACCTCCCCTGCTCCTACCCCTTCACCTCCAAACTCCAGTGTATTGTCAATATCCCAGACTCTTAACCTCATAAATACTGGTTTGAACCACATGGCATAATTGAAATCAGCTGGGGTAAGAGTTCAGCCTACAAGAATAGGAGGGGGAGAGCATGTTGGGCTGTGGTGCTGTGACCTTTGGTGTTAGAGCAAGAACACCAAAGCACCCCTTGGGCCTCTCTCTACTCCTTCCTTACCAATCTAAATTCTTCATCTTTTACACATGGTTTATTCTAAAGTTAGATGTGTATGACAAGAGCATTGATAAAGCACCATGGTAGTTTTATGCGTTTGTTAGTATTTGAGAAATTGCTAGGCCAGTTTTTAAAATACTGGGATTAAGATTGAAATAGTGGTGTTCGTTTTGGTAGCTGTGTAAGCAAAGTGCCTATCCCCACTTGGGTCTGGCCTGTTAATAAGCATATTACCTGTATTTGATTTGGAAGTCATTTGAAGGGAGAGTGTAGGCTTGGAGTTTATCACATTGGTAACTATACTGAAGTGGCATGAAACCAAACAAGTTTCAGGGGCTCAGTTTGTTATATAGTTCTAGGAACTTTCACAAGAAGTTAATCATGTCACAGTATAATATTGAGACAGTACCTTTAGCACTGCTCTTGTGTAAACTGGATTAGTCAAAGGGCTCTTAGTCTGGATTGTTGGGCAGGATAAGCAAAGGCAGGCTTAGTCAGTATTGAGACAGGAGGGTTAGCCTTAAGGGTTTTCCGTTCTTAGAGCTCCAGGTTCCTGTTCTTCTGGATTCTCCCACTCCCATTTGGAATTATAAGGGGGTCCTATGCTGTGTGGCAGCAATCCTCTCAAAACTACCCTTTTTTCCCTTCTCTCCTGTCCCTCTTACCCCCTTCATACCTCTTGGCTTTCCTCCTCTTCCTTCCTCCCTTTTCCCCTCCCTTCCCCTTATTCAGTTGACTACCCTCTAAACAGCTTGCAGCTTCTTTCAATGAGTTGCCCTTTCGTGGGTCATTCCCATGGGCCTTTTTAAAATGGACCAGTTCATAACAGTGTCCACAGATGGACCTGTCTTTTGTTCCTTTGTGGCAAAGTGGGCTCTGTAGGGGTTCAATTTAATCCCATATTGACCAGGAGCTGGTATCAGCTCTGTTGTCCCACCCCTTCATTATTGAAAATAGCCCAATTGTGCATTGTGAAATATGCCACTAGGTAACATTTTTTTTAATTCACTGATTACAGCTCGTTTCAAATTTGTGTCGTGAGCTCCCTTTTAAAGGAAAAAAGAAAAAAATAAACAACTTTTTTTTGTGTGAATTTCATGCTGGTGACAAGGTGCCGGATTGACAGCCCTGGAGACTGAAATCCTCTATTTATCCACAGGACAGGTACAGCACAGGCAGCGACAGTGCGAGCTTTCCCCACACCACCCCGTCCATGTGCCTCAACCCTGACCTGGAGGGACCACCTCTAGAGGTGAGAGGGGATGTTCAGTCTCCAAGGCTCACTCAATCCTTCCGCCTCAGCCGAGACTGCCAACACACGGGGGGCCAGTGGCGCTGGTGATTTTTGTGCTGTGGACACCACCTGTCCACGGGGACCTGGACTTGACCCCCCCACCTCATTTCACACAGGCCGCGTAGCCCACCAGATGGTAACACCAACTCTTCTTTTTTTTTTATTTTTTATTTTTTTATTTTTGGTTCAACCCCTTTTCTCCCTCTCCTATTCCTCCCGCCCTATTTTCACCTTTCTCCCACCCCTACCTGGGTGCACTTTTGGGGATACTAGCCACAGTGATGTGAGAAGCTTCACATCCTGTTAACCAGCCATTTCTTCCTTCCCCTCCCTCCCTTTTCCTCCTTGCCTCCTACCCCCTTTGCCCCAAGACCCAGCTCCCTTTTGGGAGGTTATTGTGTGGTGGGAGGAGGGCGTAGTGGGAGCTGCAAGTGCCTTTTATGGAGGGGAGGTGGGAAAAGGTAGGACTTGGACTTAGAATATAGCGATTTTTGTGTTCTTTCTTCAACTGTATAGTGTTAGTGACCCAGCTTAAGGTTTTTAGGTAGATGTAGAGAAAAACAAGTTAGGGAAATGTTTGAAAACATGTCATGTAGTTTTGTTTAGGTATAAATCATTCACGGCACCACAATTGGTAGAGGACTGGGGTGGTACTGGGTGGAAGACACCATTTTCCTTCTAGGCTGTCTTGTATACAGGGAAGAAGCAGGGGCTTGGTCAGTCGAGGCAGTGCTTAATTGCACTTCCACTTTTTCATTAAAACAGATAAGCGGGCTGGGGTTGTGGGTCAGTGGTAGAGCGCTTGCCTTGTACATGTGAGGCCTTGGGTTCAATCCTCAGCACCACATAAAAAATAAATAAAGTTACTAAAAAACAAATATGTATATTTTGCCTTAATTACAGAGAACTTGGCTGCTTCTATAGGATCCCTGAAATAAAGTAATTATATATAGGGTTCAAAGAAGGCCAGCTCAGGTCTGACTATATTTGTAAGACTCCATCTATTGCCTCAGTGCCTCGCCCCTTTGTCTAGTTCAGTTCTGACTTCCGGCTAGTTGAAATCTGTTGCCCCATTCCCCGCACTGGGTGGCTGTCCGTGATTGGTTTTTAATAGGAATTGTTTTCCTCCTTTTGTAGGCCTATACCATTCAAGGACAGTATGCCATTCCACAGCCAGATGTAAGTTTTGTTTTCACTTCTTTTTCTGAAAAGCTCCTTCTCCCATCCAATATTGTCTGTGACTCCTTCCTCCCAAGTATCCCGAAGTGAGTTGGGTTTTTAAACATTTACAGTATCGTTACCCTCACAGGGTGAACCACATTTTGGCTCTTAAAAAATTATAACCAGAACATATAGAACCTTGTTTGCCTTTTGACGTTTAACCCCTGGAAATTATATTTCAATAGGTCATTAGCTTCTTTCCCCTGTGTTTCAGATTACTCTAAAAGTGAAATGTTCCATGATATACTGTCATTTTTATTTAAATTGACAGTGGACTGTGCTTCCTTGAATAGCATTCTCCTTTCCATGGGAGGAGTGGGAGGAAGGTTTGCTGTTGGGTACTCCTTCATCTGAGGTGACAACTTAAAACATATATGGGGGAGGGTGGAGGGACTTAAACACAGGGAAGGATAGGAAGTTTAACATTTGGGAATTCAACTCAAAATCTTCCTTGCCACTAAAAAAAAAAAACACCTGTTTTAAAGTGCTAATATTTAGACTTTGTTTAAGGGCGTTTTCTTCTGCACTCTTCCTTTATCCTTACTAACCTTTTCAGGTGCTGAGCATTAGACTTGGATAGTTGAGTTTGGTTCTTGGTTAGTGGCAGGACTTAGGAGAGGGAATTAGACCTGAAGTGGGATTACTTTACACGAGCTAGGGTGGTTTAATGGAGATTTTAAAACAACAACAAAAACACCTGTAGAAGTTGTTGGTGGTGGGGATTAAACAGTTTGGTTTCTTCTCAAAGCCCTCCCCTTGCAGTCTCCCTGCCCCCATCATTTCCTTCCCTTTTCCCAGTACTGGTGGAACCCTGCATGGTGTGTTTTCCCTAGCACCACTGCACAGTTTGTTTACCTAGCCTGTCTGTGCTTGTCCCTGGGGCAACTGTTGCAATGGCTGCAAACACCTTCATTAAGTAGCCCACAAGGGGATGGTTATTGGGCTGGTACTGTTGCTTTTCTTTTCACTTACCCAAAATGCATTCATTCTCTTATACTGATACCCTCTGTATTTGTTTTCCTTTCCTTTCATATTCTGCCCATTCCCTGGATTGTATTAAGAAGGCCAGTCATTCCCCTGTGTTGTATTTGGAGTAGTAGAGTCAACTTGGGGATTCAGGAACTCTACATTTTCACATGTGAGTGTGCTTGAGCCTTGACTGTGTTACTTTTCTAATGCCATCCTTTCTTGTTTGCTTCCTGCAGTTGACCAAGCTGCACCAGTTGGCAATGCAACAGTCTCATTTTCCTATGACGCATGGCAACACCGGATTCAGTGGTATGGAAACCTCAGTGTTTATTTCTGTAAGGTGTAGTGCAAGACAGAGGCCAGTCCCAAGGTCTCAGCTTGACATCTGTTTAAAACTTCATTACCCAGCATCCTGCTGGTTTAAACTTGGCCTACTATGGCTAAACCCAAGGAGGTAATGTGTTTGTTAACTTGGTTTTCATTTGGGGTGAGTTATTTGAAAAGAAAAATAAAGGTCCTGGAAGGTTTGGGGGTGAGGTTTGGGGATGCTTGTCAGGCAAAGGGTAGGCTGATATTTCTTAGAACCATTGTGACTGTTGCCCCCTTGATCTGATCAGCATCCCCTTTCTCTCCACCAGCTATTCAGACTTGGGTAGAAACAATCCAATTGTGCCAAATTGTGTAGTGTTTTTTTTTGTTGTTGTTGTTTTTGTTTTTATTTTGTTTTTTGGGCTTTTTTTTTTTCTGTATAAGGAATAACTTGTCCGATAGGGTTAGGATGAGACCACCAAACTCATTTTCACTTGTATCTTAACAGGCATTGAATCCAGCTCTCCAGAGGTGAAAGGCTATTGGGGTAATGATTAAAAAAAAAAAAATCTGTAGTATTCTACTGTTATATTAATAAACTGGTGGGAGTCTTGTTTCACTGCCCATGAACCATATCAGCAACATGCACATGGCAGAGAGGAAGCTGAGAGAGCAAAGGGGGTGGGCCTGGTGCCCCCCAGGGTCCCTTGATGGATCTGGCCAACCCCCTTTTAAAAATGGAATTGAGCAGGACTAGGATTGTGAAGATTATTAGCCAGTTGACCTGGCCCAGTCCAGGTGTCATTATTGATGGGTATGAGTTTTTGTTTTTTTCCTTTTTTCATTGGAAAACCAAACAATAACCAGAGCAAATTGAGCAAAAGACAGGGGTTAATCTGGAGAAATGAATACCCCTCACATGACTGCCATTTCATTGTACCTGACCTTAAAGTTTAGTTTAGGAGGATAAAGGCATAGGGTGTTAATCTGACACGGGTATATTTAAGTCAACTCTGCATGTGTGCCAAAAGTCCATGGTACCAAATAACAGGCATGATATTGGCATTGGTGTTAGTGAGCATTGTGTGAGATAAAATTGGAACACAACAGCAGGAAATCCTAAGCAGAAAAGGGGAAGAAGTGAAGGACTTGATGTTTAGATTTCGGTTCAGATTTTGTCCTGTTTGAGGATACCATGCTCCCTTGCCCCTTGTTTCCATCCCCCTACCCCAATAGGCGGGGCTTTGCAGGAAATGGCATGAAATCAGCTCTTCTGAGTGTACAGAAGAACCTTTCCAGCATTATTTCTACATCCCTCTCCCCTTCTTTCCTCCTTGGAGGCTTCCAAGTTAGTGATGAATCCCAACAGCCAATGCTGGGTTTCCAGTTTAATTTCTTTCTGTTAGTTTAATGTGCAGTTCAGTGTGGTTCTGAATGCTGTGCATTGAACATTCTTGCTCTCTTCTGTCTTTTAGCAGGTTTGGATGCATCTGCTCAGACTACTTCTCATGAACTCACCATTCCAAACGATGTAAGTGTACTAGGCATTGGTTTCCAAGAATATAAGCGCCCATACTTGTAAGCAAGCACTCTATCACTAAGCTACATCCGCAGCCCCCAAATTAAGTTTTTTTAAACTAAAGAGAATTCGGGGTACTAACAATCCTAGAAAAAATTTATTGACGTGGAAAACTTATTGTGAGGCAGAATGAACATTTTTTTTTTCCCCTCAGGTAGAAATTCCATTTGCCTTTGTTTCTTGTAGAATCTTGTAGAACTTTTATCCTTAAAGCATTGGGTGAAATGATCTTGAATGTTAAATCTGTGCTTTCTAACATGGTAGCTACAGACACTGTGGTTATTTAGGTTGATAAAAATAAAATATTTTAAATTCAATTTCTCAGTTTGATTAGCCACAGTTCAGATGTTCAGTAAGAACAAATTATTGTCTCATTACTGTTTATAGTATTGGACTGTTCAAATGTAGGTAATTATTTTCTCTTTTCCTAAGACAAAAGCTTTCAAAATTATCTAGAATTTTTATCATTGTAGTAAGACGGTGTCCATGGCAGATGATTTTTTTTTAAAAAAAATATTTTTAGTTGTAGATGGAAACAGTAATTTTATTTTATTTATGTAGTGCTGAGGGTCGAACCCAGTACTTCGCACATGCTAGGCAAATGCTCTACCACCAAGCTACAACCCCAGCCCCTCATGGCAGATGAATTTAAGCATCGTTGCTACCCAGAACTGAAGATGCCTTTATTGATTCCTAGCCATCTGACTAGGTTTTAGTAACATCTTATTTCTGATCTGTTTTTTCTTTGGAGTTAATACTCTGAGGAAAGGAATAATGAAGAGCTGGTGTTTGGAGTAGCAGTTTGTTTGCAGATAACTCTGACCCATAGTGGTAAGACAAAAAGTTGGGTCAGGAATTGAAATGGGATCAGTAAAAATAATTCTTTTTTTTTTTTTAAGAATATATGAGAAAGAGTGGATTGTGGATAATATTTCCCATTACTTAGTTCTTAGATCCAAGTTGTAGAAGAGACAGTATAGAATTCTTGGACCTAGCCATACAAGTTTTAATTTGTTGTCTTTTTTTCTTTTAAGTTGATTGGCTGCATAATCGGGCGTCAAGGCGCCAAAATCAATGAGATCCGTCAGATGTCTGGGGCGCAGATCAAAATTGCGAACCCAGTGGAAGGATCTACCGATAGGCAGGTTACCATCACTGGATCTGCTGCCAGCATTAGCCTGGCTCAGTATCTAATCAACGTCAGGTAAGATTGCCCTACCTTTTACCTTAATTCCAACATAGTAGGGGTATGTTGGGGAACATTGTAATACTTTATTATTATAGGACTACTTGGGGATGGGTAGAGATGGCAAAAATAATTTTTTAAAAAATATAGCCCTGCTTTCTTTCATCATTAGATTAAAAAAATCATTCCAGTAACTTTGCATGGGGTGACATAGATTGGTTGCATTTAACTTTTGATAACTTTGGAGTTGGAAGAGATTGTGTATGACTTCACTAGTAGGACAGTGCTCTGGCAAGATCAGCCATACTGACAAAACCCCCAAAAAACCACGTTTCTCTTTTTAGTCATGTCACATAGACCAATATTTCTTGACATCAGAGCACCTTTAATTGAATTTAAAAAGCACCCTTAATTAATAATAGAGAAATGCAATTCAAAGCATTCTCTTGGAGGCAGCCATTACCATTTCTTCTGTATTTTTTTAAATATAGTTGTGGATGAACCTTTGTTTATATATGGTGCTGAGAATTGAACCCAGTGCTGCACACATGCTAGGCAAGTGTTCTACCATTGAGCCACTACCCCATCCCCTCACTTGTTCTTAAAAACATCCTTTTTTCCCTCAAATTATAAGTGTTTGATTATTTGGGAATGTTGCAGAAATACCAGGTGTATTTTCTGTCTCATTCTCATTCTTTAATGACCACCTGAGTTTTTTTTTTTTTGTTTTTTGTTTTGCTTATCCCATACCAAGGTAATGTTACTACATACAGTTGTAAGGTAGCTGTTAATAGTCTAAAAAACTTTCCCTTAGGAAATAGTTTTTAGCTCATGTGCTAAAGTCACATTGTTAATTGCTTGCAAACAAACATTTTAAAGCCATTGTGTTAGTACATTTCCCAAGGGCTTAGGGATCCTTTTTATGGGGAGTGTTATCCAGTTATTATGTACTTATCTCCTACCTATTTGGCCTCTGTAGCATGAAAGTTTTATGAGTTCTTAAATGTGGTACATGGGAAAGGCTTTCATAAGTATGAAGTCTGTATTCTTGTCATTGTTATACAGACCAGTCTTTACACCATGGTCTTCTATCCCTGATCAGAGATGTCTAAGTTCCCTAGTAGTGGTCTTGACATTTCCCTTAAGTTTTCTTTGAGGCACTATTAATTTTTACATAGAAAACACTTTCCTATATCTAGATCTGTTTGTTTCTTCAGCTGCCAAGTACATCAAGTCTTTAATAGTCAAAGCGGTAGAAAACTAGACACTGAGACTGTTGGCAAAGATTCATTTTCTTGTTCTAAGTGGGTATTTGAGGGGAGTTTCAAGTGGCAAAAATCATGTTATTAGTATCTGGAAAATTTTTTCTTGGGTTTTTGGTAGGATTGTCCTGAATATATTGTCAAGAGAGTTTCCATTATGACTATTTTTCAATGTGGCCTGTTTGCCTGGCCCCTGTAGTACTGTAGTAGGTCAGTGGCTACAGTGTATGGATTTTTTTTTTTTTTTTTTGGTACCAGGGATTGAACCCAGGGCACTTAACCCCTGAGCCACATCCCCAGCCCTTTTTGTGTTTTATTTTGAGACAGAGTTTTACAATGTTATTTAGGGCTTCCCTAAGTTGCTGAAGGCTGGCTTAGAACTAAAAAAATTCTCTTGCCTCAGCCTTCTGAGCCACCAGGATTAAGCTTCATTTAATACTAAAGCAAGGATTGTGCATGCACAGTACTTGCTGTTCACTTTCTCATCTTGGCCAATTTGAATGCAAAAATCAACTGTTTGATTATTTGGGAATGTTTTATTTTAGGAAGAATTTTTCTACTTTTATTAGTGAATTCTGAGTATTTCTGCTTTGCCTCTTTTAGTTTTCATGGTGACATTCAGTGCTTTCTGTAGTTAGTTGATTACTCTGTCATCATCCTTTATGGATTGAAGCTGACAATGAACAAAGGTAAATAAAATAGAATCTTTAAAAGGAACCTCCCTGCTCCTCAAGTTATTTTTGGAGGGTAGATTTTCTGGATAAAGTTCAGCTAATAACCTGTAGTTTTGGCTTTTAAACACATGTAGGCATTTGGGAGATGTAGATGTTTACTGTTAACTTAGAGGTTACTTTAGGAGTAAAAACAGCATTATTTTTGCTTTTTTAAAAACCTGAGTGTTTGGGGAGTAAGTTTCTTTCTGTAAAGTCTGCATTAGATGTGTGGTCAGTCAAAACAAAGAGCCTTTTGATACTCCACCACCTCCCTCTAGAAGAGCTTCCCCAGTTCTTATCTATACTTCAGTTCTTATGCTACATTCCTTGAAGTTTGAAATTAGTCAGTGACCTATTTTGGATACTTGTCCCTTTCCATCTTAAACAGAGTTTTTTGTGGAGATGTAAACAGACTAACTACACATACATACAATTTAGAGAATTCTGTGTAACATTCAGCTTTATAAGCAATTGTTATGTAATTTTCTTTTGGAAGGGGAAATTAACATTTGATTAGTATTTGAAACATTCCTTCTTGTTTGGAGATTGAATACTTTTTCATTTTCTACCTGAAAGTGTTTCTTTCTTGTAAGTTGGATAAAGGATATTTGGAAATATGTGCCTTGTATGATTCCTTTTTTAGTTTGTTAGTTTTTTCTTCACCAAAGCAGTTTTAAATAGCATTGTGGAATAGAAAATGGCAAAGTGTACATATTTAGAGGGTGGGACACAGGCTAAAATACAGTTTGTCAGAAGTTGATGTAAATCTTCCTAATTGGCAACCAAAGACACTTACTGATATAACTGAAGCGGTTTTTGTCCTGTACTTTTTCCCTTTTGTGGTCTTCCCTTCCACCCACCCTTTTTTTTGTTCCTTTTTTCCTCTGTTACAGTTTAGAAAACGCTAAACCCTCCTCCCAGGCAGCCTCCGTCACGATCCCTGATCACCTCAGCATCAACCTCTCTCAACCCTCCACCCCTTCTTCTTCTTCTTCCTCCTCCACCACCACCCCCTCGCTCGCCACAGCGGGGACCTCCGACGCACCCTCCAGCCTCCCCAACCCTCTTCCGACCGCCCCTTGTGTCTCCAGTCTGCTTGGCATGAAACCCATCCCTCTCCTGGCTCTAAATGTTGTGTCTGCTGCTAAGGGTACCGGGGCTTCAGCTGCCACCACCACCACCTCTGCGGTGCCGTGTGTAACTAACAAACTGAAAGGGGAGAAACAGAGGTTCTCCCCCTACTGAGTGCATATCTTGAGGCACCTTCCTCAAGTGTGTATTGGTTCATTTTGTTTTATTTTGTTAACACTGGTGAGAACCAAATTATTGTGAGCTTGTGACCGTTTTCCTTTTACTACTTTGGGGTATATCTGGGTGGGGGTGGGGGCAATGATAACTCTTGTTTAGGTTTAGGCCATTTCAGCTGAGTGCCTGTTTCAGAGTCTGACTTGTTGAATTCTTTATCTAGAGCCACAGTTTTTGCTCTTTCTCATTCTGTTACCTTTTTTGTAGCTTTATTCTGCCTTGCAATATAATAATGTGTTAGGCTCTGTGTTAATGAATAAAGGCTTCTCCGTTACCCCCCCACCCTTTTTTAATTATTAAATGGTTAAGCTATCAGCAGGCCTTTGGCCAAATTTGTGTTTCTAGCTGTAATAAAGTTGCCACAGTAACAACCTTAGTTCACCGTGTGCTGTGACGTGTAAAGGGGTGGGAACTTGTGACCTGTGGCTAATCCACTAGGAAGTCTATACAACTGCATTGGACTTTTGTGTCCCAGGTTAATTATATAAATCTTTGACAATATTGCCACAAAGAGGAAAGGGCTGTGGCATTTTAGGTGTGAGAGTTCTTCATAGATCTTCATTATTGAAGAAGAGTTTCTCATATCCCATACCTTGCCAACAGCAGGTAACAAGGGTGTCTGTCTGAGGTAGTTATCGTGAAGATCTCTTCCAAGGCATATATATACAAATCACTTAACTTCTTCACGCAGAATGGTGGGACAAGGTGGAGTAATTCAAAGGCAGGCAGCTACTGTCTAGTTCCTGTGAATGAGCATTACCCTTCTTCCTGTGACATTTGAAAGATCTTGAACAACCAATCTGTGACATTGTCCAGAACTTGAATAGGATGCTGACTAATCCTAAATCAACTTCAATTAGTCATCTAAGTTCCTGTACCCTTCTGGTCTCTGCCTACCCTTCCTAGCTCCAACACTATGATAAGTAGGAAATTATAAGCTTAAATTTGAAGCACCCTTGGGGATCAACTAATTTGTAACTCATTAGTCCTCTCAAATAACGAAAAAAAAAAAAGTCCCTAAGCATTTAGATTTGTGCCTTGCCTTTACTCAGTGTACTTCCCTGAGGTTAATTCATTTGTTTTTTGGTGCTTGGATTTGAACACAGGGCTTGCATTCTATCACTGAGCTGCATTCCTAGTTGCTTTTTCATTTCCTTATTCCAGGATGCACACACGTCTGAAATGATGGGCTGCGGGTAGCTCAGTGTTAGAATGCTAGTTTGGCATGTGCTAGGCCCTAGGTTCAATTCCCAGCAGTGCTCTACACAAACAAAAAACAGAACTCTAAATGTAAAGGCAGGAGGCTTCCAATTTTCTACATATTGCCAGGGTTTTGAATATATAATGTTCTTCCCCAGAGCAATAGAGAAAAGAACTTGATGATGAGAGATTTCTCCTTGATGACCATTTTCTACATTACCTTTGGTTGACATTGCTTAAGAGAGACAAGAAACCTAGCTATTCACAAGTATTCCAGTATTTTTCTCTGGTGTCATCCCAGATTGGGAATATGAATTAGCATTATATGCCCATATCAGCATGATGAAGGTTTGGAGGGACAAACTTGTGCTTAATTGTCCAGGTAGAAGTTTTTGTGTTAGTTGCTCTTCCTTCTATAGTTAGGGACTTAGCATACTTATATCATGAGGGCTTGGTCTTTTTTTGTTGTTGTTTTAAATAGGAAGGCCTTTTAACCTAATGAATATTCATAAGAAGGATTTCTGAGCAGCAGTTCAATCAAGGGGCCTCCAAAGATACTGGGTGTTAAATTTTTTAAAAGCTTAGAGCTCCCCCATGTGGTTCCAGATTTCTTAATATATTCTTTGCAGTGCTGAAGATTGAACCACACTGCCTGCATGCCAGGCAACCACCCTGCCACTGAGCTACATCCCCAGCCCGCTGTGTATTTCTTGTTCAATTTTTTCCTGTCCCTGTCTCCTACATCCCCATCCCTGCAGAGTCCTGCTTATGTTTGGTGTAAGTACTGGACAATTCTTTTTGATCACTGTAGGGCCAGAGTGCTACAACTTTTTTTTTTTTTTTTAATGGTCCTAGATTTAAACTGTGGGCCTTTGGTTCCCACAAAACCCTTTTATTCAGGGCTTATTGTTGACCTTGCCCTAGATCTTTTCAAGAATTAAATATTATTCTTGATGAGGTGAAGAGATAATTTCTGATTTTAAAAATAGTTTGTAGTTGAAGGACTCTCTAATTTCCTGACCTTTGGTTTTCCCTTCTGGCTACTTTTGGCTATGCCTTGTTGTAGAAGGGTTATAGATGTGAGTTGGCAAACTTTCTTGACCAGACACCACCAGTAGGTCATGCTAGTCAATTTAGAACCTTTTATGAAATTATTTTAGAGAGTTAAGATCACTTATTCTTACATATTTAGTTCTGTTCACAGTGTAAGCTAAGTATCTAAGCAATAACCTAATGAGGCTACTTTCAGATAATGTTTGTTTCCAAAATGGCTATATTTTACTTAGCAGTTTGGGAGGAGGTAAATATGAGCAATAAAGAAACATTACTTCTGTGTATCCATGTCCTCCAAGAACAGTCTTTGTGGAGGAGCATATCTTCAGAAAATCTAGAAGTTCTAGAGGGCACAGCTTGAGGAACGACACCAACATTGTTTCTGTTCTGAGGTAGTTTGCCTGAGGAAGCTTAGATTGAAAGTCCATTAAAAAAAGGTCATGGGCTGGGCATGGTGGTGCACATCTGTAATCCCAGCAACTCAGGAAGCTAAGACAGGAGGATCACAAGATTGAGGCCAGCCTGGGCAGTTTAGTGGGGCCCCAAGCAATTTACTGAGGCTGTCTTAATTTAAAAAGGACTCAGATGTAGCTCAGTGTTTAGAACCTCTGGGTTCAAGCCCCAGTATATCCCCACCCCACCTTAAAAAAAAAAAAAAGTATTACAGTTCTGGTTAATCCAAGAAACTGAAGTGTGATTACCTTCCCCTTCCTCCTCAGTCAGCCAGGCTGAACATTCTAGAGGCGAGGTGCACCTGGGCACTGGGAAAACTAACTTTGAGTTCTTGTTTGTTTCTATGTTACAGGCTTTCCTCGGAGACGGGTGGCATGGGGAGCAGCTAGAACAATGCAGATTCATCCATAATCCCTTTCTGCTGTTCACCACCACCCATGATCCATCTGTGTAGTTTCTGAACAGTCAGCGATTCCAGGTTTTAAATAGTTTGTAAATTTTCAGTTTCTACACACTTTATCATCCACTCGTGATTTTTTAATTAAAGCGTTTTAATTCCTTTCTCTGTTCAGCTGTTAATGCTGAGATCCATATTTAGTTTTATAAGCTTCTCCCTTTTATTTTTGTTTTTTTTTTTTGTTGTTTTTTTTGGCTCATGAATTTTTCTGTTTGTCATGGAAATGTAAAGAGTGGACTATTAATACATTTCAGTTTAGTTCTGTAATGTCAGGAATTTTTCAAAAAAATTAAAAGATGGACTGGAGCTTTTTCTTTGTGAATAGAAACTGGATGCCACAGTGATTCATGTGGGTTTTATTCCTGTTGTCTTCCTGTTATTTTTGTACCTTTTATTCCTTACAGGACCCTGATTGGGTTTTGAATAGAAGCCTTTATTGCAATTAAGATATTTTCTCCTGTTCACCACTCCCATGTTTTTTATTCACCCTCAATCCTTTCTTCCTACAACCCTGTATTTAGTTGCCCCTTGTGAAACCTTATGCCCAGATTGAGGATTAGACTTTGCTAGGACCTAATTGTAGAATAGGTATGCAGTTCCATGGTTGGATGGTGCACACATGCATATACATGGAAGCAGTTGACCTGTATCTGGGATTCACCTTCATGGGAATATTTGTCCTTGTTCAAGCTTGCATATTTTAAATGAAAACTTAAGTTTCTTGTTTTTAGTAAGTCTTCATTTATAGTCCTTTTTCCTTAATGAGGTTTTTCCTTTTTTTTTTTTTGTTTGGGGGGACTGGAGTTTGAAATGAAGGGGTCTTTACTACCGAGCTACATTCCAGTTACTTTTTTTGAGACAGGTCCTTGCAAAATTGCCCAGGCTGGCCTTAAATTTACAATGTTCCTGCCTTGATCTCCTGAGTTGCTGGGATTATAGGTGTGTGCCACTGTTCCTGGCCAATAAGAAGAGCTACTTCTGTTTTTGTCATAAAATCACTTAGAAGATTGTACCTGCTGCTATTTGTGCCAGTAATTGTACAAAAATTGACATGATCATTTAGTGAGAAAAGATAACTTCTTCACCAGGTTTGATATCCCATTCATTCATCAAGAAAAACCCTCAACAGCTGGGCCTGCATGGAGTGGTTATATTTCAAGGTTTTTCACAGGGATACAATATGACAGTCCCCACCCCAATCAGGCACCAGGATAAAAAGCAGGGACTTAAACAGCACCCCAGTTCTTCAGCCTGAGCCATCATCACATGCTATCAAGTCTCTCAACCTCCCCCTGGGCCCTAAGCCAGGGGTTGGCAGAGAAAGGGAGGGACAAAGAAATGAGTTACATTGCCACCTGAGAAACCTCAGAAGGGAGGACCCAGCCTTAGTCTCCCTCCTCCCAAGTGCAAAATGTGTAAACAGAGTAAACGGAAAACAGAAAAGTGCAGTCTACATGGTTCCTTCTGCCTCCCAATGTTGGGGGTAAAGATCCTAGTGACAAGCATTGCTTGCTGAACATAAGGAATGGGGTGAAGCAAGAAGGGGCCAGTTTCCCCAGTTTCCACACAGCTCTAGGGCAGTACTTGTCATTCATCTCCACAGCTGCCTGTATCCCTTGACTTTTATCAGGGGTCAGTTCCCCACAAGCCTGACTTAAGCTTGGGACAGCCCCATCTTCCTCTGATTATGTGGCGCATATATATAATTTATATAAATATTTCTCTATATACAGGGAATTAGAGTGAATTTCATGGAGGGAGTGAGGATGGGGGCCGCAAGGCATCAACGCTGTTGGAGTTGTCCAATTCAGTGCTGTCACAGTCTGAGTCCTCAGAATTAGGAGGGCCCTGTGAGGAAGAGTAGAAATGCAGTGAGGTAGAATAGCTCTTGGCATTATAATGATCCCAATAAGGGCAGAATCTAATAGCCAGTGGCTTACTGATTTTATTGCTTCCAGGTTTTAGTTGCTCAGGTCATTCTGCAAGGCACCAGACTGCTATTTTCAGGATCCTTCCCTGGCTGCAGTTAATAGTGGCCACACGAGTTGTCACAGACACCATATTATGCACTCTCTGTATCATAGGCCTCACATTCTACCATATGGATATTTGCTTTTGG